TATTGAAATAAGATTGGATTGAATATGGAATGACTACAATTGCAATTAAAATGGCTAGAATTGAAATGAAAGAGGGGCTATGATTGAAATAAAATTTAATTAGAGTAGCTAGAATTGAAAGAAATTATAATAGAATAGGCTAGAAGTTAAATAATTTTAAGGAAAGTGTAGGAATTACTATTTAATTCAAATAATACATACATTAAAATATTTTTATATAATTGAAAATTATTTAAATTTTAAAACATTTGAAATTCATTAATAATTTTAAAATATAATAATATTTACAATAATTTTATAAAGTAAACGATACTAAAATATATAATTTTGAGAAAAATTGACTAAAACTTCAAAACTTTAAGTAAATTTTAAAATACGTATTTCATCGAATATAATCCTAAAAATGGTTAAAGGTCGGTAAAAATTGGGTGTCAACAGCCATTTTCTTCATAGATTAAATAAAAATCTCATCTCTATTAATTATTTTCCCATAATCTATTTAAACAAAAAATATATATACCTCTTCAAGATCCCAATTTTTTTAAAAAAAAATCTATTACTTTTTGTATTTTCTCTAATTGATTTATTTTTTTAAAAAAAACTTATTTAAAATAATTAATATATCATAAAAATATTAATAGTGCCACAATATCTATCTTCCCTTTTTTAGAATAAATTAACTTAATTTTTTTTTATAATCTGTGATATAAATAAAATCTGACCAAAAACAAAACTTTTTAAAGAAAAAGTTCCACAAACAATTTTATTTAAAAGATTAACTTATTAAAAACAAATTTAAAAAAAAGAAGATGGATGTTCGCAACAATAGGGAAAATTTAAGTAGGAAAATAGAGAAAATGTGTATAATTTATTTCTAGATAAAATAATATATTGTTATGAGTATGAAATAATAAAATTTTTTTATAAAATATTAATCATTTATATCATGTTTTTATTTAATTAATTAAATATTAGCCGTTAATTTTTTCTTTTGTCATGAATCTACAATTCAAATAAAAAATTGAGGAAATAGATAGGAGTTAGATCCAAAAATAAATAAATAATAAAAAAATTATAATATTTTTTAATAAAAAAAATTAGGGTCTTGAAGAAGTATATTGTTTTGGTTTGGATAAATAATGATAAATAATCTAACTAAGGAGGGCTCTTTATATTATCTAATAGGAGAATGACACATAATAAATATTTTTTAAAAATAAAGAATAAAGAGAGAATTGTTAGATTCAAAAGTATAAATGAGCCAAAAAGGTGAATGGAAGGGTATTTCAGACCAAAAGATGAATGGAGGGTAATTTTAGACTTTTTCCTATAGTTCAAACGTATTAAAAGAAGACACTTTTTAAAAAAAAAATAATAATGATGTCAAGAGATTTAAATTCACGATATTCGACTAAAGAATTCACTTATTTTAGGACTCCCAGCCCACCCAACATTTCATGAATCGTGAATTTAACTTTATCAAAAACTTGTTAATGGGTTGCAAACTCGTTAATTCAATTTTTAAAATTTAATTTAAGAAACAAAAAATTATTTTTTTATTTTTCATTTTTGGAAAGTCACTAGTTAATTGACATTGTAAACAAATGTGTGTGTAAGAGAATTTTTTTTGGCAACTATAAATACTTCTTTCGTCCACTATTATTTGTCATGATTTCTATTTTTAGAGTTAATTAAACTATATGAATTTTGACTAACACTTTAAGATGTATATTTAAATCATATTAATATGCAAAAAATTGCAATTTTTAGTTTTTGTCATATAGGTTTTCAATATCTAAATTTTTTGTTTAAAATATTGAATTAATGTAATGTAATTTAACTTTGAAAATTAGTCAAATTGACTTTCAAAAAGTACAATATGACAAATAAAAATGAACGGAGGGAGTACATAGTGGTGTATGTAAGCAAAAGTGTTCTGCCCTTTGAACTGTTAGACACGATTAATAGAAAAGATATTTATCTAAAAATTAGTGCGGATCAATGTTTTCAAAAACGATTTTGAGACGAGTCTCGGGGCAGGGCATACCAAAAACGCTCCGAGGCGTAAATAAAAAATATAGATCCATAAGGCGTAAGTCCTAAAATTTAAGTCGTAAACCTTTAGCATAAAAACGTAAGTCCTTGGCGTAAAAAGAGTAGGCCCGAGCATTTTTATTTTGTTTATTAAACCTTTTTTGCTTCAAGTCATATTTTTATTATTGATCTAACGATTTTTATCAAATAGTAACTATAATACTTTTTTTCTTCATTATTAATTATCTATGTTTATCTCAAATAAAAATCATAATATAATTTCTATATACTATAGGTTATTTATAAAAACTTATGTGCAAAATTAGCTTATTTTTTTAGTAATAAAATTATAAAATTGAATATATGAGACTACACCCCGTAAAACTATGAGACTTACGCCCTGTGTCTCGAGGCTTACGACTCGTCCTATACAGTATAAAATGTCGCCCCACGCTCCCGCCTTTTAAAACACAGGTGTGGATCATACTAACTAAGAGAGTTTACGCTGTCACTAATAGTGATTACATTGAGGTTTTCAAACCCATTCAGAATATCACACGCAACTGTAGTGATTAACTTAGTAGTTATTTTTTCATTTTTAATCAGAGGGGATCCATGTACATATTTAGGTGCATCCTTTAATAGAGGTGGAGTCAGAATTTCATATCCGTGGATTCTAAATTTTAAAAAAGAACAACGATTTTAACCTAAAATAACAACCGTCAAATTTTGGACATTTTTAATATCATCTTCAATATTGTTCTAAGTGAGGTTAAAATTATTAAATTCACCATTAATATTTGGGATAATGCACAAGTACTCCCTCAATCTATGCCCGAAATCTCAGAGACACGCTTATACTATACTAAGGTCTTATTACCCCCTCCCCCGGAACTTATTTTATTAATAATTTTCTATCCTTTTTTGCCTACGTGACACTGTTTTGTGGGCCCAACGCTGGTTGATTTTATTCCCCAAATTAGTGTCAAGTAGGCCAAAAGGGTAAAAAATTACTTATAAAATAAGTTCAGGGGGTAATAGGATCTTAATATAGTATAAGTGTGTCTCTGGAATTTCGGACATAGGTTAAGGGGGTACTTGTGCATTTTCCCTTTATATTTTGACAACTAAAATAAAAAATTTTACTAGTTTCATATCACCTTGAACCATTAATGCCTACTGCCAAAAGTTTAAATTTTTAATATAATAAATTATCGATATGTGGGATGACCCTAGAATCTAAGATTAGAAGTCAATTTTTAAATAAATAATCATATCGTGTAAAAGTAAATAAATAAAAAAATGAAAAGAGAAAGAAAGAGTACATATCGGAGGTCAGATTTTGAATGTAGCAATCATATCAATAATAAATTTTAGAACGCTAACTTTTGAAAAAAAAGATTTGAGCTAAACTTTTCTGAATGTTTTAGTAGAAATCAATAGTCAGATATTGTTTTAGAGTACAACACAACTTGATGTATTTTTCTTAAAAAGATCATTGACAATCTGATGTATTTTTCTTATCCACATAGAAGATATACTCATTTAATTACTCTATTAAAATTGAGGATCTTTTCGACTAGCAAGTTATTTGTTGGGTTCATCAAAATGATGAGAAATTTCATGTTTGTAATACTAATTCGTCAAAGTTGTCCACTTTTTACAACAATATCTTTAGAGGACGCTAATGTTTTTGGTAGTCAATTTTTTGCCCCTTTTTAATAAGCGCTAATTCTCCATCAATGGTTAGTTTTTGATATTAATATTATATATTTTTGGATAAAAAAAATAATAAAACACCAGTCAAATAAATTTATTTATTCTTTATTTTTAGCAAGAAATCAATTTTATTCTGAACTTCTAAAAATGTTAAATATTCTCATTTGCGTCAACTTACGTAGCGAAAAGATATTAATGGAAAATTGATCCTTAATTCTTAATGTAAATAATTAAATATGTGATTAAGTGCATCAGTTAACACTCTTGTAGTGTACTATGAGGATGTTCAAATGATCTTTGTGGGCATATAAGGAGTGACATGACTAGAAACAATCTTATAAAGATGAGAGTAGCGAGACTGAGATGATTTGAACATATAAAAAGAAGTTGTGTTGACGCTTCAATGAGGAGATGCAAGAGAGTGGTCTAGGATACATAGAGGTGAGAGGGGTAGAGGTAGGCCAAAAATTATTAGGGAGAAGTGATCATACATGACATGACACAACTTCATATTATCAAGGACAGGACTCTAGATATGAAGAAGTGAAGGTCACACAATGTTACTAGGAATAGTGTTGTCTTGCATTGTGATGTTTTTGCATAGTACTGATCGTACTCTCGTAGTTCTTGTCATATGTTGTAATTATGTTTTGCTTATTACACTATTTTACCGTTGTTAATGTTTTTTTCTTATAGACTTTAATACTTTTTTTAAAAAAATTACATATTTTATTTTTTCATTATTTTCATCTTCTTGTACTTGACTTTGATGAACTTGAGCAGATGAATTTTTGAAAACATTTTCTCTAACTTTACGAAGTTGTGATAATATTTGCGTTTACTCTACCCTTCTAGACCTCAATACTTACAAAAAAATTTATTAAATATGTTGTTATTGTTGCAACCTAGATCGAAGTATGATATTATATTAAATTCAACTTTTTAAAAAATAAAATATCTATTTTTTCAAAAAATAAAAGATTTATATACATGTCAGTCTCAAGTAAACAAATGCTAAAGATAAAACATGTTTATCATCTAAACAATTTTGTGTTTACACTCCATCTTTATCGTTATTAATGTTGGTATTAAACATAAATCAGAAATCCAAAGTAGGTATTAACCTTCTTTTAATACTTTTTAAGACTAAAATAGATCACTTTTATGTTATTGTCAAACACTTCTAAAATATTTTTTTAAAATAAAAAAACCTTAAAAACCAGAAACACCTTTAAAAAAAAAATGTTCAGTGTGTTCTTTTGAATTTTAATTGGATTTCTGTAGAATTGGCCAAAAGATTCTTTTTCATCACTGTCTTCCTTTTTCATTCGGAAAAAGATTTGGGGTATTTAATTTTACTTTACTGTTTTTGCTTTTTCGAGGGGTTGGGGTTTGTTGCAGAGCCTAAACCTCTACATATTCTCTATATCACTCTATCTTCTTCACTAATGAACACTCAAAAGCTGCTGGCAAACATCCTCTTCAAAGTTCTTGCAATTCAACTCTAGCCAGTGAGTTTTCCTGTCTATCTCTGTGTTTGTTTTTTCTGAATATTACTGCTTTATGCATTTTTTATGAAATGGGTGTTTAAAGTTTTTGATTGTATGTTGTTTTACTTACAAAATCTTGCCTTTTTTTTCTTTCTAGTTTGATATGTGTATTTCTGTTGGTTATGGGTTTTTCTTTGTGTTCCTTTGAAATGGTATTAAGTGTGTAAAAAATAGGCTGCTTTAACCCTGTTATGTCACATGGTTGTCATTTTCTTGGGAAGGTTTCTGTTTCATCTTTGTTACTTTGTTGGTGTTTTTATGTTTGTTTGTTTCAATGATAATGTGGATAACAAATCAATGGAGTTAGCTGACTGTTTCTGTGCTTCTTTTTCATAAAGATCATTCTTTAATGCTTTTTTAAAATGAGTTTTTCCATGGGAGTTTAAATCTTTGATTGCATGTTCTTTTACTTACAAAGTCTTGTTTTTGTTTTCCTTCTGATTTGATATGTGTACTCTTAGATTTTGGTTTTTCTTTAAAATGGTACAGAAGGTATAGTTTCCTTGGGAGGGTTTTGTTTTTTCTTTGTTACTTTGTTGGTGTCTTTATGTTGGTTTGGTCCTATGTTAATGTAGATAACAAATCAATGGATCCAGCTGACTATTCCTGTGTTTGTTTTTCATAAAGATCACTCTTTTATGCATTATTTTGAAATGGTTGTTTTCATGGAGGTTAAATCTTTTGATTATATGTGCTGAACTTACAAAACTTATTTTTTATTTCTGGTTTGATTTGTATTGGCTTCTCTTTGTGTTTCTTTGAAATCGTAAAACAGGTGTGTGGATACAATAGGATGTTTTTATGTATGATCACCTGCTTTTCATTTTCTTGGAGCATTTGTTGTTTCATTTTATTACTTCTGTTGATGTCTTTATTTTGTTTGGTCTGATGTTAATGTAGATAAAAACCAATGGAGCCAACTGATGTTGCAGTCTCTGAAAACCAACAGCTCTCCGCTGACCCTCTGCCTTTTGCTAGAAGGTTGGCTTCTTACGTCTGTTTTCTCTTTTAACAGAGTTTAGGTAAAAAAAAATTGATTGAAACAATGAACTTTTGTAATATACATTCCCTATCTATGATTTTGTTATGTAGTTATCAGTTGGAAGCCCTAGAGACTGCATTAAAGCAGAACACAATTGTTTACTTGGAGACTGGTTCTGGAAAGACCTTGATTGCAATTATGCTTCTTAGAAGCTATGCTTACCTTCTTCGAAAGCCATCTCCGTACATAGCTGTTTTCTTGGTCCCGACTGTTGTTCTAGTGACTCAGGTAGTACATCTAGCTTCTCAATCTAGTCCCTTAAAATTCATCATCTTAATGGGTATATTTTTAGCAATGGATGTATTCATTACTTTCTCTCCCGTCTAAAGATTGAAGAACTATTTTTTCCCATTAGTTTTCTCATGTTCTGCAGTTTGTTTGACTGTTTCAGTTTGCTTGGTTTAAGGTCGAAAACTATCTATCTGACTTGACATAATGTTGTTGATCTTGTGGTTTGATAATTACAAGCAAGGAGATTCTCTCATGATGCATACAGACTTAAAAGTGGGCAAGTATTGGGGAGAAATGGGTGTTGATTATTGGGATGCTGCTACATGGCAACGCCAAGTGGACGCCCATGAGGTGTGTATGAACTATATTTTATCTTCAGTGATAGATTATTAACTGTTGCTTGAGTTGGCATTGAATATGGCTACAATGTTTTCAAAAGGATTCTGATCCTAAAGTTACTTCACAACTATATGGGAATAAAATGGAAGTGACTGTTTAATAATGGGACATAGAGTTTAAGCTTCTATGCTAAAGTAAGGCCCGTATCTTCATAAAAATACCCACAGCTGAAGGGTCAAACCCACTACAACCTATCTTTAGACATTTAGGGGTTGTTTGGTTGGTGGGATAAGCGATAACAATCTCGGGAAACAATTCGGGATTATTTTATCCCATGTTTGATTATGAGTATCAATTAGTCTCAGAATACATTTTGTGATAAAATGGTGGGACAGCTAATCCCATGGAATATCCTTGTCTATCTCCTTACGGTAACCATTAGAGATCAAATTTTTTGTACAGATTAGTTAATTAAAAGAAATGGTTGTGAAAGCTTTAAAAGAGTTTAGCTGCCCATATTTGCGATTGAATTTGTGAGTTTTAGGTTGTCTAGTGACTGGTATTGGAATCTCGTGGAATTGTAATGTGCTCTCCAAGGGAAGTCTCAAATGAGCTGCTGTTGTTTGCCTTGAGATCCTTTTTTGGGCAGGCTCTCTTCGAATATATTAGATCTGTCATTCATCATTTATATGCTAGGAATTAAGTTATTACTTGGATGCATCATAAGTAATCACCCCAGGGTTTCGTCTTTCAGGTACTGGTTATGACTCCAGCAATACTACTTGCTGCTTTGAGGCATAGCTTTATACAAATAAACATGATTAAAGTTATAATATTTGATGAGTGCCATAATGCACGAGGCAAACACCCCTATGCCAGCATAATGATGGTATGTTGTTTGTGCTACGATTGAATTTTCTGTACAACAGTTTGTGCTAATTGTTGATTATATTTTCTAAAGTGCAGTTTCTTTACCTACCTGGACAATGCTTTTATATAATACGTGTCACTCTCTTGGTTCCAAAATACTTGACCCACTTTGGTTATCACATATCCAAAGTAAATTGTTTGAATAGATTATTATTAAGGAGTTCAGTAAATCAGGGCCTTTGCTGAAATGAGTTGATAAATTGTCAAATAATATTTTTGTATGTTTGAGTTATCAACTGGAAAGTCTTTACATGCTAGAAAAGAGAACTTGTAAAAACTTATAATGTAAACAATTAGCAAAAACTGTCATCCAGGTTTGTTTCTTTAATAGCTGATTATATTAGACTTTTAACTCTTCTAGAAAATCCACATACTTTCCTATTGCAGTAGAATAATGAGCGTTGGACGGTTGGAGACTGTTATTTTGCATGAGATATCCTATTGCATGAAGGTGCTATGTGTTACAGTCATTTTTGTCTCTTTAGGTTGTGTATCACATCTCACACTGGATGATGACATGAGTTGTTATTACGTGGTTTTCGTCATTACTTACCTCATGAGATAAGTTGTGGTGTTGAGAGGACCAAGGCTCATTTTCTTGTCGTGGTACCAAAGTTAGGCACATTCATATTCCTTGTTTATCCAAATGCTTAGTTCCATATAGTGTTGACAACACTCTAATTATCTAGGCCAGGGTGTGATCAGGGAGGGGGATTGTTAGAGTGCCACATTGCTTAAGAGCATGTATTATAGTCTCCTGTTATGGTCTTGGCCAATGTCCACATCCTGAGCTAATCCTGCTTGAACACGACTTATTACGGTGCTTGAACAATTCATGTCTTAGAGGATTAATTTTCTTTCAGGAATTTTATCATCGCCAGTTAACCCGTCAGAGCTTACAACTTCCAAGAGTATTTGGGATGACTGCTTCCCCTATAAAGTCTAAAGGTTTGCGGGATTTGATCTTATAACTTTGGACATCTTTTGAGATGTTTCTACATCATACTGTTAAAGAACTGGTTATCTCACTTTCTCTGAATTTTCATGTTTTATACTTTTTGTGCAGGTTCTAGCACAGCAGATAGTTATTGGCAAAAGATTCGTGATCTTGAGAATCTTATGAATTCCAAGGTTTTCTCACATTTATGTAGTTTTGTCTTGCACTCTGATTGAATGTAGTTCAGAGAAGAGACTGTGAATATTAAAATTTAGCTTTTGGATGTTTTTCATCAAAACATTGCATGATTGACTTCAGTTTCTTGCTTAGAGTTGCACTAAGCAGAACTGTGCTTATAAGCAGATGAAGATCATAAGCACACGTTTAGATGTATATTTGGTTCCTCTAATTGTGATCTGCCTTTGCAAATGAAGGTATACACGTGTGGCAGTGAATCTGTTCTGGCGGAGTATATCCCATTCTCTAATCCGAAGTTGAAGATATACAAACATGTGGATATTCCTTGCACATTGTTTCTTAGTTTAGCTCATGACCTGGAACAGTTGAAAGAAATGGTAAGCAACAATTCTTTAGCCAATGGATTGTCTTTCTACTTCACATAACGTTCATGCAAATCTTCCGTCCCTCTCTGAAGATATCTTCCCTTGTATCAATTATTAGTTAGATGTTGGTGCCTCTTTCCTCTGTAGTAGTTGTGTGCAAGCAGAAAACGGGAAGTGCCTTGAATGATTACTGAGACTACTAGCTAAACCTTAATTTATCCTTATAGTAGCGATTGGCGTTGGCTTGTTCAACATGTGAGTCAGACATTTTTGCTCTTCCAATTTTAGTTGCTTTAACTTTTCTTATCATTGCAGCATGATTGTTCAATTTCAAAGTCAAACCTGTCTTTTATGAGTGCTGGAACTGCAAGAAGACGTTTGTCAAAACTTTATTCGGCTTTCTTATTTTGTTTGAGTGAGATGGGTGCTTGGCTGGCTTTCAAGGTAAATTTTGTTCCTTGTTGGAGCCAAAATAAATAAATAAACATTTTAGCCTTGATCATTTTCCTAACATGAGAGTTCATTTTGAATCAGGCTACTGAGTTCTTGTCCCGTGAAGAAGTTGATTTCCTTTCATGGGGAGAATTAGATGTATGTGCTCAAACTATTGTTAGAGATTTCAGTTGGGGTGCATCTAAGATTTTTTCGGCTCGCTTACCTTCAGGTATCATAGTTACAACATCCATTTTCTTTTCTTCCTGAACTGTAAGATTCTCGTTTGATTTCTTTCTGCTATCTGTGTCTTACTCACTCTCTCTTCCCTGTAAACGTAGGGCCATATTGGTCAATTGGTGGTGATATTCAGGCAAATGTGGATGCTGGATATTTGTCATCCAAAGTTACTTGTCTTCTAGAGTCTCTTCTTGAGTACAGGTGAGAGCGGTTGAATATTGAATCTACTAATTAGTCAAAAGATTTAATGCCAGATCAATCTGTTGGAAGTTTGGAGAAAAGATGGGAAAAAAAGAAGTGGTCGGTTAGATTCTCTTAACATTTTGCGTCTGCGAGAGACTCTTTCGAAAGAAAAGTGCTTAGTTTCGTTGGAAAAACCAATGCAAATATCATATTGACTTTCTCTCGCCCTACTTCTAAAGATGGGGATAAAGAGTAAAAGCCCCCTTAGCTCTGCCAGGCACTGGACAGGGGTTAGCTCTGTAAATGTGTAGATCCAAGTGGAGACCTTCCATTGATCTAGGGAGCCTGGTGTAGTTTCTTTCCCCAAGAACTCTTTTTCAATCCATATGGCCAAAAAAGAATATCTACTAACATTCTACAAGCAAACCCTTTCTTTTAGTTGGGTAAGGACTCTCGGTTAGCCCTTTTTTTGTTCTTTGGTCATTTCCAGTAACCTGGTAGATCTACTGAACCTTTTCCAGAAGGGAGTTTCGAAGGGCTGCGGAACTGGTAACCTTAGCCCAGAACTCGATCTACGGCCCCCTCAAGGTTAGGGGCACTCAAAAGCGAAGGAAGGTTGTCTTTTTGTTTCCCTGGCCAAAATGGACATGCTTTTCTTTCGCAGATTCTGAGGAAGCAGGTGTAGAATTATATGTGATTTGGTGTTGATGCAATTAAACATTTGTAAGATCTTACAGTTCCTTTGTATTGTTCTTGAGAATACTTTGGATTCATGAATAAATATGAACTTCCCCTGGTATTTAATATGGACAGCTTCTGAGATTATCCATTCTGTTGTAGGGAAATAGGATTAGATATTTAGTGATTACCGACGAACAATCTTTTCATTGATAACAGGGACCAGAAGGATTTGAGATGCATCATATTTGTTGAGAGAATTATTACAGCCATTGTTCTTCGGTCTCTATTGAATGAGTTGCTTCCGGAACTATGTGGTTGGAGAACTGAGTACACTGCAGGACATATTTCTGTGGTCCAGTCACAGAGTAGGAAATTACAAAACAAAATTGTTGAAGAATTTCGCAAGGGGTTGGTAAGTTAATCTTTTTTTTTTTGCTTTCTAGATAGATTTTGAAGATTGAAAAAGTCTGATATCCATGCAAACACTGCAGGTGAACATTATTGTAGCAACATCTATTCTTGAAGAGGGCTTGGATGTTCAAAGTTGCAACCTTGTCATTCGATTTGATCCCTCAGCTACTGTTTGTAGCTTTATACAGTCACGTGGACGAGCTCGAATGCAAAACTCTGACTTTCTTCTGATGGTCAGAAGGTATGTTTTGTCAATATATTCTAATTGATACTATGAATGTTTTCAGAGTTCTGACATTATTTTTTTTGGTGTATTATTTACTGAAACATTCTATTTCTTCTGTTGTCTGCACTACTGTTATACAAAGATAAAATGAATTATTTAAAAGAATCTAATAAACAATTACTTTAGCTCTTCACATTTTGTGCAATTACCAATGATAAATTGGAAGATTTGATTATAACAGTGGACTGATCGTTCTCATTTTGACTCAAATTCTAGTGGGGATGATTCGACCCTCACTCGCATGCACAACTATATGGCTAGTGGAGAGATAATGCGACAAGAATCATTATGTCATGCTTCTATTCCATGTTCACCTCTAGATGATGAATTGTATGATGAGCCTTGCTACAAAGTTGAAAGCACAGGAGCAATTGTCACCCTCAGTTCTAGCGTGTCATTGTTATACTTATATTGCTCAAGGCTACCATCGGATGGGTTTGTACTGCATACTTCTTGCTATGTGTTAAGGATTCTGGTATCCTTGAGTACTTCACGTGTTAAATATTGTCTTATTGTCTGACATTCAATTCAATTGTAGGTACTTTAAACCCAATCCTAGGTGTGTGATTGATAAGGAAACAGGAACCTGCACGCTGCAACTTCCCAAAAGTTGCCCTTTGCAAAGAATTATTAGTGTACAGGGGAATAGCAAAATATCAAAGCAACTTGCATGCCTGGAGGCTTGTAAAGAACTTCATCGTGTGGGTGCCTTGACTGACAATCTTGTTCCTGATATCATGGAAGAAGAAACCATCAACAAAGAATTGGGTAAAATATTTTTCATCTAATGTGGTTTTTTTTGGATTGTGGTGCTTGACTAAATCTATTATATTGTGCAGAATGTCAAATCCATACTGTTGAAGAATTAAAATACTTTCCACCAGAATTGGTTAGTCATTGCGGCAATGATTCAGAAGCAGTGTACTACTGCTACCTAGTTGAGTTGCAACATGACGCTTGCAACGATTTCCAGCTTCATGGAATTATACTTGCTGTTAGGACAAGGCTTAAGTTTGATGATGAAATAATGGCATTTGACTTGGACATAGATAGGAGGGGACGCTTACAAGTTCAACTTAATTATCACAACGTTGTTACACTTACTTCTGAAGAGGTGACTAATTTTGATGGATTTTATCATCTCTTAAACCTGTGAAAATGATTGCTGATACTTTTAATATCCATCTCTTTTTCTCCAGATTCAACGGTGTCGGAGGTTTCAATCCAGCATCTTCAGAATTCTTCTTGACCGTGATCTGAGTAAACTGCAGGGCGCTTTGGCTGCAGTTCAATCGCCTATTGGTTCTGCAGTTTCTGATTATCTTTTGCTCCCATCTTTGGGTACTACACCTGAAATAAATTGGAAATGTGTGAATTCTTTACTGTTTCCATCTCAAGCTCTTGAGGCTAAGCATATGGATTGCTGTTCTACACAAGGTCGCAAACGCAGTGTTAGCACCAAAACTGGGGTGATATGTAGCTGCATGTTGGAGAACTCATTGGTCTTTACTCCTCATAATGGCCATATATACTGCATTACTGGTTTTTTGGATAATTTGGATTGCAACTCATTGTTGGATACGAGAACTGGAGAACCCATTACCTACATAGAATACTACAAAAAGCGGTTTGTATTAGCTTCTGATTTCCTGGTGCACCTTTTCCATATATCATCTTTTGGTTTCAAAATATTAAGTAAGATGCGGTTTACAGACATGGGATTAACATATGCTTTGAAGAAGAACCGCTTCTTAGGGGAAAACATATTTGTAAGGTGCACAATTACCTTCAAAGATGCAGAATACAGAAGGCTAAAGGTTTGATCATATGGTTCTCCTTTTGTTATAATGCTTATGTATGATCTCTTATCTTTGGCCTCCTTCGCAGATTCAACTGATTCATCTGTGGAGTTGCCTCCTGAACTTTGTTCCCTCATCATGTCACCCGTCTCTATTTCTACCCTTAATACCTATTCATATGTTCCTTCGATCATGCATCGGATTGAGTCCTTGGTTATGGCCTTAAACTTGAAAAGAATGCATTTGGATCACTGCACACTAGATATTTTTATTCCGACCATTAAGGTATGTGCTGCTATGATCTCATCTGAGATCTTTGCTGTAATTAAATCGGTCTCTTTTAAGCTGTGAGCTTCATACATACTCCCGTGCTCACAACTTACTCCTTGTTTTATTATTTTAGGTTTTGGAAGCAGTGACAACGAAGAAATGCCTCGAGAAGTTTCATCTGGAGTCACTTGAGACACTTGGAGACTCTTTTCTCAAATATGCTTCCAGTATACAGCTATTTAAGACTTACGAAAATCATCATGAGGGTCTTCTCACCATTAAGAAAAACAAAATCATTTCCAATGATGCACTATGTAGGCTTGGATGTGCTCGTAAAATACCGGTAGATATTCCTGTGTAATCAACTCCATGTCTCTATTAATCATTGAAGGCTTATTGTTTTTTTCTTTCTGATATGTCTCATCAATGCTTAAGACAACCAGGGGATATTTGCTTGTACACTTTGATCAAGGATTTGATATTGACTGTTAATTATACATGTCCCCGAAAAGTTGTCAACTCTTGCATATAAACATTCTTTACTTCCCTTCCTTGTCCACCCGGGGGAAATTAGCTTGTACACTTTGATCAAGGATTCAATATTGGCTGTGAATTATGCCTGCCACCTAAAAGTTTTCTACTCTTGCATTTAAACACTCTCTACTTCCTGTCCTTGCCCCCACAACAGTTTACTGTTTGTTATATTTTATTTTTTTGAGAATTTGTTTGTTATAGTAGAAATTAGTTATTTATATTTGTAAAACAAGAAATATTTTGTCACTGCATCAAAATGGAGCACATTTATTTAAGGACATGGCAATTTTGAGGGATTGCTTTTGGATACATGTATAAGTAAATATCCCAGTGGATTCATAAAGAGTTCCTACAGTTCCTTAATATTTTATTGGTCTTAACTGCATAGTCTTCTGCGTTGCTGGATGCAAATGCTATTTGAATTCTTTTTCCATTTACTTCTTTTGGTTTTCCCTTCAATAAATACCTTTGATTGCAGGGATTTATCCGTAATGAACCATTTGATCTTAAAGCATGGCTCATTCCTGGTGATAATTCTCAAATTCAAACCTTCGACGAAGAGTTCCTAACTTCTTCTGATAAAATGTATAGTAGAGGAAAACAGAAGTTTAGAAGTAAGAGAGTAGCTGATGTTGTTGAGGCACTAATTGGTGCCTACCTCAGCTCAGGTGGGGAAGTAGCGGCTTTATCATTTATGAAATGGCTTGGGGTGGACATCGATTTTGTTGATGCACCTTTGCCAAGGAACTTTCCCATGAATGCTGAGAAGCTAATCAATGTCAGATACTTGGAATCCCTGCTACATTACAAGTTCAATGATCCTTCTCTGCTTGTTGAAGCGCTGACTCACGGATCTTACATGCTACCTGAGATTCCACGATGCTATCAGGTTTTTCTCGTTAATGAATATTATCTATCTTAATGTTGTTAAATACTTGGATCTATATTTTGCAGTTTGATTACTAAAAATTTATTGTTGCCTAGATTGGGGAAGTTGTGAACCTGAACATTTCATTAACCTAAGGCTGCATAGCATATGCATATCCTCACATTTGGACCAATATATTGTGAGCGTTCAAGATAAGTAATATCATAAAAACAAGAGCACTACTTTGTGGGTCTTAGGACATCAGAGAAAGAAATGAAACAATGTTGAGATTGAGAAAGTCAAGTTTGGGGTTTCCTAATTAATTATGACCTATGAGTTCCCAAGTAGAAATTGATTGCTAGAGCAGCAAGATTGGCATTGATTTTAGAAGATATTCTTATCCTAAGATGATGCCAGTTGTTGTTTAATTCTTGAAGGATATGATAGAGCCTTGGTTCAGTGGAACATTTGGTGCCAATGGGCTTCTTCTATGACAAGTAATGGGGTGGCCTTGTGACTAAACAAGGGATAAATGAGACAATACCTGATTTCGACTTTGGAATTTACAATGACCGTGATTTTCCTTTGGGATACTTTGTGTATGCCATTTGTGTGCTTACCAGATTTGACCCCTGCATAGAGAAAGCAATACAAGCGGCAAGCCTATTCTTTAGTGGAAGATACACAAACTTGAGACTGAAGGAGAACCAGCATCATATGCATCTTAGGTGTTTTGACTTGTGGAAATTACATTCTTAGGCTGCAGGACTTACTGAATTTCCATTTGGGAGAAATCAAGAGAGTAGAAGTGAAGTGATCAATGCATATTGTTCAGCAGCATTGACGGGATTCATGTATGGAGATGCAAATCATGTTTCGGTTGGCTCAACTCTCGCGGCCTTGGAAATTCAGTTAGCCATGGACTTTGTGGCATGTAAAAGGAGATTAACAAAATCTATACACCAAGTTTTGCCAAGAAAAGTAAGGTGGTTGGTATATTATAGTCAAAAGAGATGGCATACTTTGGTTTCTCCATCTGAAAGGAAAACATCAGGCTGGGGATTTAAGTTCTACCATTATTACCAGTCACTGAGGTGTGAAATTGGCACTCTTTTGTGTACCCAAAAATAGCACCGAGGATGGGTAGAAAGGATTTGTATATGCCTAGGAAGCAATTTATAAGCAGAAGCAAGCTCGGAAGGAAGTAAGGGATCTAAGCCATCATGATGATGGGAATTCACTCAAATCTTTTGTGGTGGATTCATAGCAGAAAGTGATCAGTACTAAACTTGAGAGGGTCACTAATTATGCTTGTTAGATTGTTATTCTTGATGGATCAATAGTTTCCATTCGTTAAAGTTCAATAAATATGATTTGAGGTTCAGAGAGAATACCAATGTGTTTAGTGACCAACATCACAAAGTTCGTATTTTACACTGGACCATTTTATTTGGAAGCTTTTTACTTGAACTATGCATCATGATCAGTTATGTTCACAGTGGTTCCATTGCGGTATGTTCAGCCTTCCTTGCACACTGAGAGGATAGAGTCACATTGCCTACATTCATAGTTTGTTCTTTTAAGATCAATACGTCTTTTTAACTCTCTTGATTGTCATGCTGATATTATCAACTGGCTATGCAGCGCTTGGAATTTCTTGGAGATGCAGTGCTAGATTATGTTGTTACAGCACATCTCTATTTCAAGTATCCAGGACTGACTCCAGGACTAATTACTGATTTGAGGTCTGCCTCCGTAAACAATGAGTGTTATGCTCAGTCTGCAGTTAAGGCTGGCCTGCACAAGCACATTCTTCATGCCTCGCAAGATCTGCAGAGGCAAATACTTAGTACTGTTGAGGATTTCGAAAAATTGGATCTTCTGTCCATGTTTGGATGGGAGGCTGAAACTACTTTCCCAAAGGTATTCCATACTTACCTCAAAGTTAAGACATAACGCTTCATCTGAGAAACCCAAATTTAAGTTGCAGAAGAAAAAAAGTTTCTGAATGCTGTTTCTGCAATCGAACTGTAAATCTTTCCCATTGTCAAGAGTTTCATCTTAAGATCAGTTCGGATTAATTGTATCGTATGTACTAAAGGTTTAACTCATTTTCTTTTTTTGGTTCAATATAGGTGCTTGGAGATGTTATTGAATCCCTTGGTGGTGCAATCTTTGTTGATTCGGGCTTCAACAAAGACATTACATTTCAGAGCATACGACCTCTTTTGGAACCGTTGGTTACTCCTCAGACAGTAAAGCTCCAACCAGTAAGAGAGTTAAGTGAACTATGTGACCAGAAAGGTTATATAAAGAAGAAGGACGTCATCTCTCGTGAGAATGGTTTAGCATATATTACAGTAGAGGTTGAAGCAAATGGTGTTATTCACAAGAGCACGTGCTCGGGACGAGACAAAATAATGGCCAAGAAGGTGGCTAGCAAAAATGTCCTCAAGTCTCTGAAAGAATGTCCTTCCAATGCTTAGGAGTTGTTACTTTTCTGCTACTTCAGTTAACGAAATTCCTACAAATCCTTAATATTTTAAGGATCATTTTTGTTGTTTGATTGCTTCTCTTATTAGAACTGTTTGGATGTGCCTTCCATTGTATTTTGGTTGCTATTTCAATTAGGCTACTTTATAAACGTGTCATTTAATTTGACTTTTTTTCACATTTATGTTCTCTAACTTTGGGGATGCATAAGTAGAGACTTATAGAGTCTGTTTGAATTGATCTTAAAGTTGGTCGAACCTAGTTTTAGCTTTTGGGAGTGTTTGACAATGTTAAAAATAACTTAAAACAAGTTTAAAATAACTTTTAAAAAAATTAAAAGTTAAAAGTACGTCCTCCCATACTTTTCATTTTTCAATTAAAAAGTTATGTAAGTTTTATTTTTCTAAGTTAAGTCAAATAGACTTTTAAATTTGTATATAGTTGAATAAGTAAACACATGAATTTTATACATGTAGGACACAAATTGTCATTTTTATCCTTTTTAATGTCTTTCTTATAGGACTACAATACAATTGTCATCTTTCTTAATGTGTTTCTCATTTAATTACATTTAAAGATTTAATTAGTACAATTTAATTCTAACTTCTCACTTTTAATAATATATGATATTGATGATTTACTTTTAAAGATTATTTACTATCTAAAATAACCAATTTATTAATTCTAGGGCTTAGTCAAACATGCGCCAAATTTACTATCAAATTTCATATTTTAACGATTACATTATTGAATAAACTCATGTTTAATTATCATGGGTAAGTGCAAAATCATTACCTTGAGTTTTTATGATGACACCAAGTCGAAGTCATATAAATCTCATAGCTAGTTGATCCACAAAATGGTGAAAGATTTTTTTTTTTTTTTGAAAATTGAACATTATATACCTAAATTAGTGGCAAGTGTAATTTGACTACCCAATCACCGAACAATATTTGTCTATCATATAAAGAAAGCCTCATATACTGGCATAAGAATATTGGAGTGATAATTGTTATCGTAAGCAAACTATGTAAAGGTAAATACTCGTCCCAATAACTCTAAAGTTGAGTACATATGCTCTCAACATGTTTTCAAGAATTTGAATAGTACCCGCTTAGACTGATCATTAATTTTTGGGTGAAAAGCGGTGCTTAGCTCAACCTGAGTACCCATAGCCCATTGCATAGACTACCAAAATGAATTATGAATTGTGAATTGTGAAACAATGTGAAGTGAAGTCCTAATCTTTTGTACAACCGCACAAGAAACAACTCCTTCAGCGCAATCACGCACATAGGGCAATAATTGTGAACAGGGGTGGGTCCACGTTGGGTGAATTTCTTCGGCAAAAAAATACACGATATATATGGTAAATTTTCTGTGTTTTTATAGATATTTATATTTTGAACCCCCTCAATAACAAATAGAAATAGATGGATTAGTGGCAAGTCCCTTGAATATTAAGCTGCACACCCTCAATTTGAATCCCTACGTGCTAAAAGTGTGGTTATAAACCCTAAAAAATTCAAGGGTCCCATTTCTAAAAACTTATTTACACTTTTATACTTTTAGTTTTCAAACTCCTAAAAGAAAATTTTGGATCCGCCATTGATTGTGAAGTCTTACTAGAACCGTTTTAGCGTGATTACGTTAGCTAGGGAGACTTTAATTTATCGCGATAGATATAATGTACAAGTAATTTCATACGGTATTATTAATTTATATGAAGTCTCAAAACATACCATTTACATGAAGTTTTAACCAAAAGGTTGTGTTATTTAACACCTGCATATGCATACCATGTATACTTCTCTAAATATTGAAGCAAAGTGTTAGATTCTAAATAAAGTGAAAATGGTGTCTGGCCTGCATGTCCACTACCAACTAGTATCAATAAAGCAAACACATGCCAAATATTCTAAAAAGAAGCTATGTTTTGTGAGTGCATCATGCACTATCTTTGGTTCCTAATTTCTCTTTTTTTCATCATGTCAAGATTGCTTTTCTTTATCATTCCAAAACAAATCATCGTGCACCTTTATTATCTTTTCTTTTGCCTCACTGCCAAATACACTTTTTGATTACTACTACCTAGTTTCATTCATTTTATATATCTTATTGTTGTTTGATCGTGCGATATGAAATTATGAGATCAAATTAACATTTTGTTTAAATATGTAATTTGGACTTTTATATGGTATATTTTCTCATGAACATAAAAGTCTCATAAATTGTAAAACTATTAAATTTATTCCAAAAATTTAATTGATGTGAAGTGATAGTTATACTAAATATATGTATACGACCTTGAAATAAACCTGAGTCGACTTCATTTTTATACAATCTCTTAAGAAAAAATTTACTAAATTGCATAATGCATTATCACAAAGCTAATCTAAAAATACCACATTTATTGATCAATCTTTAATTCATTAAAAAAAATTAAATATAAATTGTAGTGTTCAAGTTGTTAGTAGCTTAGAAGATTATTTTTTAAGTAATGTCACAATGGTTAGTTTTGTTCACTCAATATAATAATTTGAAATCTTTTTCTATTAAACATTGATTTGAACGAGATAATAATAAATTTTATCAGAGATAATAATAAATTTTATCAAAAATAATGAATTTGATGAAAAGAAATGGTAATAAAAAATTGATTTTAAATAAAATAAATCTTATTGACGAGATATGAGATAAAAACGGTTTAAAAAATAATGACATGAATTATAAATTTTATTTACGGAAAAGGGCCTAAAATATCCTTAATGTATTGAAAATGGTATAAAATTACCCTTCATCCACCTATTGGCTCCAAAATATCCTTTTCATCCACCTATTGACTCCAAAATACCCTTGTCATCCACCTTTAATTTCAAAATTGACCACTTTAATTATTTTAAAATTAAACTTTTTAAAATACTTGACGTTTAACTATTGATTATAATTTAATTTATTAATATAATTTATAAACCAACTCACTACCCACTCATTACTAACTAAACCCACCCAATTAAAAATTCAATTATAATATCAAAATCGTCATAAACACTACTAAAACACGATGAAATTATAGATTCCTGAAAATGACATCCAAAATCATTCGAGTCCGAATCGAAGCCTCAATTAAATTTAGATTGAGCCGCTTATTTAGGAGGACACTTTCAATAGGATTCTCTTTCAACATTGAATTAAAAATTTATGTTTAAAGATAAAGGAAGTAATACATCCGAAATTAATTCATGCACTTTTTTAAATATAATTTTATAAATATTTATGATTTGTTTTAAAACCTTTAATATATTATTTTGAAAAAAAGTTACCTATGAAGTAACATCACATAATTTGAGACGTAAGAATAATTAAGATAAACATAGCAGACTTTTAAGTTTATCGGTAATTTTTATTTATACACTTTAATGTATGATAATTTACTTCTATAGATATTTTTGCCTCAAATTTTTTTAAAACACACAATTGGCAGTAGTTTTTCTGTTGTTACATTAATAATGTGACG